AAATAGGTACCCAATGTTTGGATTTCAGCAACTCAGGAGACCATACACTCTCTCCATGGCAGCAAAGTATCCCTGGTCCCTCAGTCCTTATTCCAGCAGCCCCCTGCCCTTTTCCACCCAGCTGCCTCCATTGCCTTTTTGTAGTTCAGAAAAGCCATATTCTACAGTTCTCTTCACCCATATTATTTTCCTCTAACCAGCTCCCTGTGATGACCCTGGCATTCCCTAGCCTTCCCTTCAGCACTAACTTTGAACTTCATCTTGTATGTGTTCACTTGTCACTTTGTTTTTTGCTCAGTCAGTAAGAGTTTAGCTGATTTTCTGTGAGTAGCCTATTTCCCAGATTGGCTTCTCTTTCCTATGCAGGGTTTAACAGATAATGGAGACTAGAGATGGGGAGGGATGGAGTAGATCCACAGTAGAGATAAACCAGTGCTGAGAGGGGGGAGGGGAAATTCTTGAACAACACAGGGAAGGGATGTCATAAAAAGTGCCCCACTCATGTGCAGCAGCCACAAGCTCTAGCTGCAGTTGCCAGCATTTATTTATACAATCTTGTGATAGTCTGATTCCCAGGCCTACTTCTCTCATTGGGAATGGAAAGACTAACCCCTTCCTTGTGGGGCTTGCAGGTGTGTGGCTGTTACCGTCTAGGGCTACAGGTTTTTTTCTTTGCTTGGTAAAGGATTAAGAGGCAGCAAAAGTGAGAGAGTTTAGCAAATTTTTATTAGGAAAACAGAAAGTAAAAGTAAAAGCGGGACCTCCTCCAAGAAGGAGGGGCCAGGGAAATCCACACTCTGGGGGCATCCTTATGTTTCCCTTTTTATGCCCAGGACATCACCTCCCTCCTAGGGACATGTCTGGGGCGTCCTGTACTGGAGTAGGTGTCTTTTAACTCCTGCGTTCCTCCCAGAGTTTACACTGAGTACCCGGCCCGCGTGCCCAAGGGTGGAAGGGTCATGGGATTGGCTCCTCTGCCTGGGACCACAGGAGCAGAAGCCCGCTGCGTAAGCCCTGTAGGAGAAGTTCAGGAGCACGGAAGTCCCTTACGCAGACTCAGTGAGTCCCACCGCAAGGGAAGTCAGGAAAGAGAAGCGGGAAGGGCACGAAAATTTCCCGCCACCACTGTTGCCATCTTGCTTTAGCTGCCTATGCCCCACTATTTGTCCCTCATGAAAGCACAGTTGCTCTGATGAACCAGATGGTTTGTTACCAGTGCATAGCTCAAATCTGGGAGTGCTATGGAGCCTGCAGAGGCTGCACGCCATGTGTCTAATCTATTTTCCTAACCCCGTGTTAGGAAAGTGCTTGGCCAACCACGTGCTCCATTTGGGCACCAACATCACAGAGAAGTGGGAACTGTGTATTAGTCTGGGAACAATGAGCTTCCAAAGTTCTGACTTTGTACTCTATCATGTGAGGATGATTTGTGGCTGGGGAGGCTGGCAAGGGTGTCTGGTCCTGCTAGCTAGGTAGATGTTTTTAGGAGCAATCACCTATGCTTGCTCCTAAAAAGCTGCAGCACCTTTATAGAACAGTTGACATTCCTACAAAGATTATTGTTGGTTGTTTGAGATAAGGCCCTCCGGAGAAACTTACAAAGAACCAGCCAAGTCACCAAGTCACTCTTTTTAGTTAACCTAGTGTTACTTGCTGTGTGAAATGTTGTGGGCCAGTGTTGAGGGTTCTTGCTTCACAGGCCACAGACCAGGCTCCTGAGCAGCTGACTGACTTGTGAGACAAGGCTGGTACACAAGGTAGGATTTATTAGAGAAAAAGGAAAGGCTACAGCTAGAGCATTGCAGTGGAGCCCAGAAACCGGTGGCTCCCTGCTCAGGTGAAGGCTGGGGCCTTTTGTGGATGCTTTAACTCTGGGTTAGGGTAGGAGTTTGGTGGGGTTTTTTCCATTGGCCATAGATTTGTATGTGCAGGATCTCTTAAATGAACTAGTCTGTTTGCCCCTTATTGGGGGAACAACCTTGAGAGCATTCTGTTTATCAGCCCTGTGGTAGATTTATGAGACCACATATCTCCTCCTCAGGGTGCAGGAATGCAGATTTATAACTTCTTCTCAGGGTGCAGGGCTCATAGTGCTCTCCATGGGGGATGGATACTCACTCATTTGTCCTTTAGATTCCCAGACCCAATACTAAACTTTGGTCATTATAACACTAATTTCTCCTCTCAGAAAGCAGTGCCCTCTGTCATTTTTGAACATAGGAAGCATGACCTTGGACTGAGCCTGAGCAGAATTGTCCACAGTCCTACATGTGATGATATCTTTCCTATATGAATATATATGAATTTCCCCGATAAAAGCCTATTATTGCTTTCTTTGTTTGGGGAGGTACTGCTTTGAGTATTATCTCCAGTGCACTCCTCACTTGCTGTAAGTAATAAATCCTTCTTAACTCTTACATTTTAGTTGTGTTTACTGGTTTTGAACTTTCCAAGGGGCTATTCCATTGTATTTGCTTATAGCCCTCCTTGGTTTCCAAAGAAGGACTTTGATTCCCGGGCTAATAACAGAACCTTCTTCAAAGGTATCTGATTCAGCATCTCAGTTCTTCAAAATCTGTTTTGTACTGGGAATGGGAGGGAAGAAAGATGCATTGTTTCTCTCTTGATTCCTGTTATTGCTTGCATGAATTTATCAGTTACTCTTCCTAGGATGTGAAGTCTGAGAACCTAGAGCCTGAGGAAGCCTCTAGGAAAGAATGAAGTTCATATTGGCCATACCCTGCTTCCAGAAGGCGATCCCACCTTCAGGTGGAGACACTTCCTACATACCTTCACTTATCCTTTTTAGTTTTCAGTAATAGCTTCTGGGTGTAGGAATTGCTTCACTGCGTAGTTATCAGGAGCTTTCTATAGGATTGAAAGCCTCCACTCAACCTTGTTGGTTTAGGTGTTTAGCCAGAAGTAGAGTTAGCATTCTGGGTTTTTGTCTCATGAAATCAAAGAATGAGCTCCATGGATAACTAAGGATGAGCATAGAGATAGGAAAGTTTATTAAGTGAAAGAATAGAAGCTCCCATGGAAGGGAGGGGTTCTGAATGGGTTGTCAATGACTCTGTGGTGTCTAGGGGCTTTGCCAGAGTAAGTGTTACTTAATTTCAAATGCCTACTAGTTATTGAATGGATGCAGGTTTATTGGTTCCTTTTATTGCCATGTTCTGAGTGAACAATAGAGTTTGGAAAGAGTTCGTTTTCAAACTCTGGAATAGTCCTGAAAGTGCTTCTTGTTTGCGCCTTCCTTTTGTATAGTGAGCCTTATCTTGTTTTGCTCTCCCATTCTGGAACACTTGCTTTATGGAGAAACAAGAATGAAAAACATTCTGTGATTAACTTTCTTACTTTATTTTATTGTGTGACTCTCAATTAGTTGTTAGACCCTTTCTCTGCCTGCCTGGCTTGTTCCTTATCTCTCAGTCTCCTGGGCTCTTTATATGAAATAATTTTCTAGTCTCTTTTGTCACCAAGACAGCTTTTCAGTTCCCCTCAGTTTGAGGAAACAGATTTATTCTTGGACTCTAGACCTCTGAGCTCTCTTAAAGTATTTACTTAAGAAAATTTATTGGAAGTCCTTTATCCTTTGGAGTTTCAACTCTTCTTCCAGTCTTTTTCCAGTTTTGAAATCCAGGAGTGTCTTTCTCTAGGATCTGAGAACTATCTCTTTGAAGGTAAACATTACTGAAGGTAAGGTCCCATTTTGCAGGTAATGTGGTAGGGAAGGAAGAGTTGGGGCCCTAGGGTGGAGGAATGTGAGGGGCCTTCCAAGCTATTAAACTATTTCCTGTCATGAAGACAAGAGAGTTTCCCTTTGAGTAAGGCCAGTAAACACAGATGGCCTCCAATTCTGCACTAAAAATTATCCAGCCCTTTAAGTACTGTGCTTACCTTGTGTTGAACCCTAACTCTTGAGACTGAGAGATCTCTGAAAGGGTTTATTGAGCCATTACAGGTGCCAGCCATAAAAAGCTGGATGAGTTTTCTTTACTAACAGAAGCAAGATTACACAATACTTGGAAACATGTCTGCTAGATTTAGAGGTAAGAGCATTTTAAAAGAAAAATTGGGGAAGGGAAGGCATAAATTGTTTACATTGTACCTACATTGGCTATATACACAAAAGAGAAGATAATCCAAATAGGACCAAGTTTTGGGATTGGGGACAGTCCCCAAGGTAAAGTAGTTCCTGCTTCTGGATTGGCTTGGATTGTAAGTAGAATGTGATTGTGCCTAGTGCATGTTTACCTGGGTTTTTTCCTAAAGGTTTTTTTATATACATTTGGAAATGTGGAATAGCTTTTTATTTTTGTTGTTGTTGTTGGTTTAGCCCAGAGAGGTTAGGTAATTAACTCCCTTGTCTCTCCCTTTTTCTATCTTCCCACTTGTAATTAAATTTACAACATCCATCACAGAATTTTTCACTTATCACTCAATATCCAGACATAATCTCTGCCCTCCTCTGCTATTACTAGCAGTAATCAACTTCTTCCTGTTTGGCATGTCTGATGTGATTTTGTACTTTTACACTCATGATTGTGATTTCCTTCAAATTTCCTCCAATTCCTCTCTTCTGGTCTTCACATTCTTGTAGTTTATTAGGTGATCAAGTAATACATTACTGGAAATGTGTATCTTACCTCTCCCATTCTAAAATTTTCATGGGGGAGAAGTATGTCTGAGATGTTTTATACCACATACAACCCAGCATAGTGCTGAACGTGCTCAAGTCTTTTCAGCAAGCAGAACATGTTTCTCTCCAAAAAACCTCAGCTTTTAAAAAATACCTTTAAAAACATGCCATAATCCAGACATGGTGTCATGTGCCTATGAGCCCAGTCTGAAGATGTGGAAGTATGAGGATAGAGAGCTGGAGTTAGCCTGGACTACATAAAAAGGTCCAGGCAAGCATGGGCTACATAGTGACAAACAAACAAACAAACAGAGCATGGTACAATTAAAAAATATTTTTATTTGTATTTTTTTCCAGTAAAAATATTGTGAGTTTTTTGGGTAGGCCAAGAGGAAGGACCCTGAAGCCAGCTCATCTATTTTCTTATGAAGACACAACATTTGGGGTAGAGAGGATCTGTGCTTAAGTGGGAGGCCCTAAATCAATCTCTTTGGGTAAGATTTCAAGAAAAAAAATAGGACTCTGGTGTTGTGGGAGATTTTCTGGAATTAAACTAGGGGTGTATAAGAATGGATAGAGATCCAGAGGGAATCCTTCAGGGAGTTGTACCAAAGGTTTTGAGGCTGAAGTTAGGATTTCTCCTTCCTTTTAGTTTGAGCCCTCTGAGAGCATTTCAGTAGCAACCTTGGATCCCTAGAATTAATCCTCCTTAAATCTTTCAACTGTCTTCAGCATTGTCAAAACATGGGAGAAGTTTAAGTCTTTATCCAGTTTATTCCTGTCCATATCATGAGACATCAATGCACAGGGAAATGAAGTTATGTGGTTAAGGTCTTTCTCTGTGCATGCATGCAGCTCCCACCAGCACTGGGATACATAATCCAGCTCTCTCCATCTGGTCTTCTTCCTGGTGTACCATGCTGCCTTTCTCTACTGAGTTCAAGGGTGTGGAGCTCCAAGGAGCAGAGGTTGCATGTTGAGGGTGGTACAAACTTCCTTCAAGGAGAGGTGGGAATAGACTTGCTGCTCTTCCATCATGTGGTGGTGGTGTGGTGGAGAAAGCCTGCAATGGGAATTTAAAAGAAACACACCCATTTTTGGCATAACTTTGAGTACTGAGCTTGGTGGAAATGTTTCCCATATTATAAGTAGAATTTAGGGCTGGTTATGTAGCTCAGTGGTAGAGCACTTGCTTAGCATGCCCAAGGACCTATATTCCATTCCCAGGGCCACAAAAATGTTTTTAAAAGAATAATATTTAAAGTTTTAACAGCATCAGCAGCAACAAAGTCATGTGGCTTAGGTTTTCTGCTTTTCTCACCATGAAGAGAGATTCTTGAAAGACTTAACCACCTTATTCTTCTATTCTTATAAAAGTTTATACTTTTGTCATTATTCTTTTATGTTCATTTGTAAGGATTACTGAACGTTGTCATAGAAAATCACAAAACTACCTCCAATTCATGTTCTTCAGCATGAGCTTAGCCTGACATAATTCACCTATTCCACTACCAATGTATGTTTCTGTTAATAAACATTTCTGTTGTCATTCTCAATAGGTCAATCTCACATTTTTACTATGTTCCTCAATTTCTCTGCCTCACTTTATTCAGTGATGACCCCACAACAAAAGAAGACAAACCACTGGACAATTCTTTTTTTTCTTCCTCTGCAAATAACCCATAGAACTGTATTCCCACCTACCATTTTTTTTTTTGCCTGCTTTAGGGGTGCCTTCTTTTCAAGTGTGAAGCTCTGAGTTCCAACCCCAGTCCCAGAAAAAAAAAGTCTTTTTTATAAGGATAAAATGATTTTTAAAATCCTGAAGTGCTAAGGATTGTGTCTGACATGAAGCAATCATTTCATTTAATTGTTATATTATTATATGGTAAAATCTCACATCAAAGAGAAATGCTGTAGTTGCTCACATAGCTCCAGTAAGTACAAAACAGTGTTTTCGGTTATCCACCATTTGTGGATATCAAAGATTAGTTTTCTTCTTTGTCCTGTGCCTTACCCCAGCTTTCTCAGCTAATCCTTCCTGTCTTATCTCCCACTGCCTCTAGAAGAGCTGACCAAAGAAACAAAAGAACCAAAAACCAAACCTTTCCCTTGGCTCTGCCTAGTCTTAATGTGGCAGAGGCCAAGTGCTTTACATTCTAGCAATAGGGCATCAGTAGAAAGGGCTCTGAATTTGAAATTCTTGAGCAAGGTATAAATTATGAGGAATGATGAGAGTCATCCATTCCCAGGATCTTGAAGGACAATGAAGACCTCTTCTTTGGCAAAGGACTGAATGAGAAAGTGGGAGGAAACAAGCTACTGGATGGGAGGGAAGGTCCTCTTTTAACAAAATGGTGTCCTAGTGCTAATTCCAGAAAGGCATTTGCCTTATGCTGATCAGTTAGAAAAAAAGGGAACTCCCTCTTAGAAGATGAAGTCCCTTGAGATTATTTATGACAAGCTCAGTATGACTGGATTCTAACTCCTATTCACCTATGCACCTGGGTATCTTTAGGCAACACACAAACATCCAGTTGAACACTGTAGCCAGCTCAGTGTTGCTACTATTTCCTATACATGCTCACATCCCTCCCACAGGAGACAGCAAGTAGATTAACACCTGGTGATTGATTCACACCTGTAATGGGGAAATTACCATTTTCTATAAGAAATTGAGATTGAAGATGCAGAGTGGGACTTTCTCAGTACATCTGAGGAACTGTTCCACCTAGCCCTGCCTTTGATGCTGGTTAGTGAATTTCCCCCATGCCATATTTGCCACACAGGAGTTAACTTTGATAGCACTAACCTCTTTTCATAGCTACCTCACCTTCCTGTGATCTTTTAAAGGATGAAAAAGGACTGGGTTGAGAGAGATCGTTTATAGTTTTTAAAAAGATAATTAAGCAAATTCATGCAACACTAGAATAATTTCTGAACTACTGTGGACCGAAGACTCAGCAGAAGGCTGCCTCAGAGGAGGTCTCTTATTCTTCTAGGTAATCAAAGAAGGGTAATTTATAAAATATTTTTATCTTGTACCTGAGATTAGCACATTTTGTTTCTAAAGTTAATGTATTTCATTGAATCTGATAAACCACCTTTGATAAAATTCCTAATTATTTTATAGTCTACATAAGAAGGCAAAAATGACAATTGGCTGACACCATCAACTGTAAGATACATCTTGACTGCAGGCATGTTAAAATGTGGAAAAAAATGTGTGCCTTAGAATCATGGAAATGAAGACTTTGTAAGCACAATCTCCCTCGCTGGGATGAAATCCCAATACATCGGCAGAAAATAAATCTAGTAGTTTACTTGAAATGTATAACTCCCTCACAAGTCAATTTTAATATTTTTGAATGTTGAAATGTAGGCAAAGTGTAGACAGTTCTGTGAGAAGAGGTGGCACACTGGGCATTGCATAGATTCTCCCAGAAAGCCACAGCTGTATTGATTCTGCAGAGCCTGCTTTGCTGGACATCTTGGTATTTTTTGTGGGAGGCTGACATCTGCTGGACAAATAACACTAAAGCAAAGCTTTGTATTCTAGAGCAAATTTAACTCTTGGCAAGGTAATCTAGCTGTGAAATATATACTACACATTTTCTATTTGGATTTGGTCAGTCTAGGAGTGAATTTCCTTCTCAAATTTTGTCCTCTGTGACTGAATTTGAATGAGATTTCAAGTGAGAATTTACTCTGAGTATGTGAAAAATAAAGCCTTTTGATATTTCTTATTGTCTGCAATAGACTGTTTATAAAGATGGTCCCAACATTCCTCCCATCTCATATGCCTTTTGTATACTTTGATTTTGCTTCTTCATTAAAAAAATAGTCTGTTTTCCATATTTCTGAACCAAGGTTGCTATGTAGAAGGAATAGTGTGTAACTTTCCAAAGAATTATTGCAGCTATTGTTTTTACTGAATTTCCATGTAAGAGAGACAGGGTAGGTATTGAAGGATGACATACTCAGCTGTCATTCAGTACCAAGGTACCAGACACATAGGTGGGCCCTTCTTTGTTGAGAAAGGGTTTGCTGTACAGCCTAAGCTGTCCTGGAATTGTGGATCCTTCTGTCTCTCTCTCCTGAGTTCTGGGATTACAAGCATGTACCACCATGCCTGGCTATACAGCCTATTTTAATCCTTCCAATCAAGCCATCAGCCAAATGCAGTGGCATAAATGAATACAGGAGCAATGCAAAAAAAATGTACCAGACAACTCAGGACCATTCTTTAAGTAATTCCATTTTTGGTTATGCAGCAATTGATACCTAACAAATACCCTAGTAAAGCTTCAAAAGAAGATCAAACAACCATGTCCAGTCCCCAAACTAAGAGATTTATATTGAACTTTGTTGGGCGGATTGCAGAAAATAGTGACTTTTAAAATGCTTTCCACACTTGAGAACTACTAAGTGTTTTATGTCCAGGATTACCTTTTCTAAAATTCAGTATCATCTATGACACCATTATTGTTATTCCGATGTTATATTTCCTTCAGCAGATACTCTCTATCTTGTGTTAAAACTCTATGCAATAATATAGTCTAAGTACAGGTATATGTGCAAATATCTTATTTTCCTGTTACAAAGAACAAAATCAAAGTTAACTGATTTCCTAAAGATCATTGAATTAGTATGGATGAGGTATTTGATTGCTCATTACTAATTTATTTTTAATATACTTTATTTTTAAGCAATTATAGGTTCACTGCAAAATCGAGCAAAAGGACAACTATTTCCCATGCATACACTGCCTCCATGTATGCACAGCCCCCCATGTTACCAACATCCCTGGGCATAGCGGTACATTTGTTATTAATGATGAATCTACACTGACATCATCACCCAAGTTCCGTAACTTATATTCAAGTTCCCTCTTGGTGATGAAGTTCCATGGGTTTGGACAAATGCATAATGATATGAATTAACCATTATTGTATCGCTCAAAGTAGTTTCACTACCCTAAAAATCTGTGCTCTGCCTTTTCATTCTTCCTTCCTGTCTATCCCTTGGCAACCTCTGATCTTTTTACTGTCTTTATAGGTTTTCCTTTTCCAAAATGTCATAAAGGTGGAAGCAAACAATACACAGCCTTTTCAGATTGGATTATTTCACTTAGCAATATGTATTTGTTTCATCTGTCTTTTTATATCTTGATAACTTATTTCTTTTTAAAACTGAATTTATTCAATATTAAATTCCATTGTCTTATTATTGTGGTGTTTTTATCCATTCAACTACTGAAGGACATCTTGTTTCAATAATTATGAATGAAGGTGCTATAAATATACATGTGCAAATTTTTCTGTGTATATTAAGTTTTCAACTCTTTTGGGTAAATACCAAGAAGTATGATTGCTGGAACATATGGTAAGAGTCTGTTTACATTTTTAAGATACCGTCAAACTGTCTTCCAGAGTGACTATACCATTTTCTATCCCCACCAGCAATGAATGAGAGTTCCTATTGTTACATATTCTCATTAACATTTGGTGGTGTAAGTGTTCCAGATTTTGGTCATCATAACAGGTGTATAGGGACATCTCTTTGTTGTTTTAATTTGCATTTCCCTAATATATAATGTGGGGCATTTTGTTATCTCCTTGCTGCCATTGATTTATCCTTGATGAGGTGCCTGTTCAAGCTGTTGGCCCATTTTAAAAATCAGGTTGTTCATGTTATTACTGTTGAATTTTGAGTTCTTTGTATATTTTGAAGAGTAGCCATTTATCTAATACATCTTTTGCAAACACTCTCTCCCTTCTGTGGTTTGTCTCTTCATTCCTTCATAGTGTCTTTTGCAGAGGACAAATTTTTAATTTTAATGAATTCAACTTACCATTTGCTTTCTTTCATGGTCCAAGACTTGGGTATTGTATTGAAACATCACCAAAAACCCAAGGTGATCCAGGTTTTCTCCTACATTATCTTCTAGGAGTTTTACATTTTACATTTAGGTATGTGATCTATTTTGAGTTCATTTTCATAATATGTGTACAGTCTGTCTAAATTCATTTTTCTTGCATATGGAAGTCCTGTTGTTCTAGC